TACGGTGAACAGAAGGAATTACGCTTTCCGGTTCGATCATCACGGATACTGTTTTTAAAATCTACTGATGCTATTAGGTTGGCGGGAAAGTTCTGTCACACTTTTCGAACTCAAAATACTTGCCCATTACCTGAAGAGGGGTAACCGGTAATGTGAGCATATACATCAAGGAATGGTCTTTCTAAATATCGCTGGCTTGACTCCTGCTCCTCCTTATTCTGCAGTAAGGACAAGAATATCCGCTACTTTCGGCCCCCACCCCTTCAAGCGCTTCCTCAAACTTTCTTCTACCACCCTGGCGCCAGCATGACAGCTGTCGATGCCGAAATAATGGAGCTGCATAAGGACGATGTCTACAATTATCAGACAATCTTCCACGACGCTAATGCTTCAGAGCGGGAGCCTACAGTTTGAATGACGAAGTGAGGTTTGGGTGTACCTGTGAACTCAGCAAGGGAGCTGTGGGTCGGAAACTGCTGGAAGAAGCTGCTTCCTCGGTCAATCCGTACGCAAAGCAGCTACGAGATCTGAAGCGAATCGTCGATCAGAGGGAAAAATTCGTCCGCACAGTCCGTCTTCAACGTGATGGTGCAGCCCACTCCGTCCAAAAAAGTTCGAGCCGTACCTCATGCAATAGAGCTGGATGGCTCTCCCCTTGCACTGGTGTAGCACAGACATTGCTCCTTCTAACTGCTAGTTGCCTCCCGTACTTAACCGTTATATGGCCGAGAAAACCTCCACGACTCGAGCCCAAGTCAAATTGAGATGATGTCCAACTTTGCGTCGCGCCGGCCTGCATTGTGAAGCGATGGCATCCATGAGGTGCTCAAAAACTGGCAAGTATCCCGTAATAACACTGCTGCATCAATTTTGATCTTGTACGCCTCTCTGTAAAAAGAAAGCCCTAATTTGAAAAAAAATGTGACAGAACTTTCCCGCCAACCTAACACTTTGGCTTTGTATGGGGTTTTGTCAGTTATGTATTAATCTTTTTTTCAGTGAGCATTTTTCCGTCAAATATATGTACTGCACTGCGATTCGGCATACCCGTATACTTGAGTCGACGCACCGCTTAACGTCATTCTTAAACCTGTTCTCTCTGATGTTGGATGCTGGGATCCACAATATCTCTGAAGAGCGCGACAAAGCTGTATTTAAGGTAGGTTCATATTGTGACTTCTAAGATGTGATGTGGTAAATTATTACGGCGTAGACTTGTGCGAAGTGCTTCCTCGTTCCAGCAGCACACTGTATTCCGTTTCGGAGCAGCCTTGCCAACCTTTCATTAACAGCTTTTGTGTTTTTTTCTTTATGTTTTAAGCCTTTTTCGAGCGTTTTTGGGTTGCCCATATTTATAAGTCATGATTCTCTGGCAAAGCGAGTAGGCGGTGGTTTGGAGTGTGGATTGCCCATATTTATAGTTATGATCCGTGCAAACGATAGGGCGTGTTTGGGTGTGGATTGGGGAGCAGCCAGGACGGTTTTTTCCACCAATGATGCTATTTCCGCAGCAGTTGGCGAAAATGGCTGCCCTGGCGACGCTCCAGTTCACGCCATGTAATATGCCATATCGTTTGCAGGGATCTTGAGCGTAGGAGGAGCAGGGCTCTCACCTTGTCTCCCATAACCGCACCCACTTACCAGATTTCTATTCATGAGTGTTGAATTTATGAAAACGCGCGTAATTCAGGTAGAAGAACGTCTACAACTCGATCTTAGCGATGAAGCTGCATCGGTACATATTTTTGGAGTGATTGAGACGAGCATGAACTTCCTCAGTATGAATGTCGGCATAGTGATGGACGTGTTACACGATTTGAAGCAGAATCTTAGCTGGTAGATCTGACCGAGCAGGGCGTATCTGCAGATCACTGTGGTTCGGGTAGACCTGGGCGCGACGGAGTGGATTTCTTGTGGACTTACAGCATCTGCAATTTTCACCTTGTTACCGCTTTTTAACCTAGCAAAAAAGCGATTCAAGCATTCAAAGGGAGTTATGTTAATGGGCGTAAAAACAATACGGGTAAACTGAGACTAGAAAATGGTTCCCTCGAAAGGTTACTATACACCCTCTGGGTCTATTACCCGGTAGCTTATAACTTGGAAACTCTTCTGCATCTTCACATGCATGGCGCTTCCCATGCCAGCAACTCATTAAATTTTTTTAATAAGAGTATTAGAAATTCTTTTTTTCTCCTGAGAATATGAATAATTCCGTTCGCCCCGACCAAAGAGCACAAGGAGTACGCCGTTTGGTTCCTAAATGATCTGTCGTCTGATACACTCTAAGAAACTTACGGTTTAGAATCCATTCTTTATTCCTTTACGACGGCTTGTTTTTTTTTCTCCACAAGTTTCACCATGCTATATGCCCTAGTGTTGTAAGAAGCTCCAACAAGGCCGTTAGGTTGGATTTTTTCATACGGACCCAGAGTGCAATCATAGGCACTAATACCCCTTACTGCCCCATCTTCCGAAACCAGACCGGTTTTTTAACGACTTTTTTCCGATGGTAAATTTGGCTGAAAACTTGTCGCTCGAGGAACTTTGACTTCCTGAACAGGAATATAACATCTGTTTGGCCGAAACCCGCGCCACAGGCGCTGGCACCAAAATGCCGCAAATCGTCAAAGTCGCTGAAATTTCGTCCCGGTCTAGTTTGACCTCCTGAACACGAGCAGCACATCTGCAGGACTGCACAGAGAGTTAATAATGGAGAAAAGGGTGGGGCTGCATGTGACAGCACGGTCTGCTTTTACTCTTCTGCACCATTCTTTCGGATAGTGATCTCTTCCCGCCGCCTAAGACTTAGCCTAAGCAAAGGAGAAAATCACCATTGCAGGCAAGCAGAGAGATATTAGATATAGAGAGCAGATATTTTGTCTTGCTGTGTTCCCCTTGTTGCCCGGTTACAGGGCTCTTGTCAATAGGACATGTTCCTGGTGCGATGGTCCAAAGATTTTTCTCTCATCATCTACTGGTCCAGATCATCTGTGAATTGAGATGGAAAAGAAAGAAGGAAGAGAGAAGGAATGAAGGAAGGAAAGGAAGAAAGGAAGAAAGGAAAAAAGATAGCGAGGGAAGTTAAGGCATGCGTTCATGAACCGTGCGACGAGTCGTCAACGTCAACGTAACCGACGTTTTCGACGACTAGCTCGCGAAGATTATATATGTGTCGATCCGACGTAACGGACGAAACCGACTGTAATGTGACGTTAACCGACTTTACGAAGTAAGCCGAAGTCAGCGACCGTAACCGACTACTACTATCACGAAATTAGATACATTGACTTCGACTAAACAACTGTTCCGACTGAGAAGTGCGTACAACCGACGTAAGACTAAAACTGTTGCTAAACTGACGAAATACTAGACTAACCTTCTCGAACTTTGACACGTATCGATTAATAAAACAGACCGAAAACTGACATTTTTCGGCGACTGCGCCAAGAGTAGGCTTTTCGTAGATCGTTTTTCCCCACAAACTTTTTTCACATCACTTATTTATTTCCTTTTCTTTTGTAAACAATTTTCCTAGCCACATTCAGAGAAACTAGTGGTCTGGCATTCTCCGATCGAGTATCATTTTTGTTTTCTCCCAACCTGCCATTGTCAGGGTCGCAGACTGTGGACAGTGCCTTGAATCTACACCCGGAAAAAACTGTCGGACAAGTTTTCCGCAATAAAAAGAAGTCATTGTCCTGCTAGGCTCACAATCATTTCTGACATCCCAATCTCTTCCTACCATGGGTTGAGAAATTTCCACAATATAAAGATGGCTTTGACTGACTTGACATCATACTACCTCTGAATTTTGTCTCCACAATTTTTAATTGAGTTAGACCGTATGCACATAACACTTAATGACCACATTATCATTCGTATTGAAGGAAGTCGAACGATCCTTGAAAAAAGAAAGAAAAATATAACAATATAAAGAATTCGGCGCTTTGAAAGAATAAATAACTAAAGCCTACAGTACGATAACTCGCTGCTGCGGTTATCATTAATCTTCGTCGAAAACTCCGGTTACGTCGCTTACGTCGGTTTCGTCCGTTACGTCGGATCGATACGTATATAATCTTCGCGAACTAGTCGTCGAAAACGTCGGTTACGTCGACGTTGACGACGCCGTCGCACGGTATGAACGCAGCCTAACGTTCCACAAGTATGCTGAAACGCAATTGCCTTGACGGGAGACCACCCAGATCGCGCTACACGCCCGGAGTCGGAGTAGGCAGGTGGTGCCATGACTTGCGCCTGCAGGCGCCAGGTAGTTTTGAGCCACCCGAATGTGAAATCCTTGTTTCTGGAGGTTGTACTACCCTGGAGACGAATTTTCAGTCAAATCTGCCTTCGGAGAAAAAAGTCGGTAAGAGAGTGGCTTTATTTTAGTGAACTGGCACAGTAGAAAGTGAATAATGCCCAATCGTTCGGCTCATAAAGTGCTCAATAAGTGAAATTTATGCGCGCAGTCGCAGAGCGGGCAATGTATCCTATGTCCTGGAAGTCGGGAGGGCATGGCCACGTATTTCATTTGAACATTGCGTGTTTTGCCATTCGCTTGAGATCTTTCCATCTGAGACAGCTGACATCTTACCTTGTGCCAAACAATGATATGATTACAACTGTTCCAAAACGGCAACTCCCAGCGAAAGCGCAGCCATGTTCAAATGGGCGTGGCTTCCATGTTAAAATCAGTGATGCAGCCACGCCCACTCCATTTCGGGAATATGGAGTGTAAGTTTGTGGAGGCTCGTTTCGCGACCTTGTACTCAATGACTTATACCCCTTGTGTTGTGTTTTCTAGTTAACTAATTCGTTGCTTGATTTCCAGTGGTGCCTTGCGAATATTTTGTTTTGATTTGACATGTTTTTAGAAACTGTATAGAATGTACATATTGATTTATTGATTACCGACTACGTCAGATAAAGATTCAATCACTACTCGGATTGGGGAGTTGCCCAGAATCGACTCATTTCCATTTCATGGTAATAAATTCGGC